CTGGAGGGACCTTCTTTCTCCTGCCATGGCTGTGGGAGAAGTGGGACTGAGTGGTGGTAAGCGAGCGGTTGCCTGGGAGCTCAACCCAGCTCCAATGGGAATCGCTGTGCAGCCCTCATCCCAAACCCATCCCCTGCTCCTCCACCAGACTGCAGTGGAGGCAGTGCTGCTGGGGGCTCGTGCACATCCTGCACCCAGCTGGGTACACAGCTCCAGCGCCCAAGAACCCTCAGAACCCCATCAGCATCCTGTAAGCATCCCCCCAGCATTGCGCCAACGTTCACCCACCCAATGTTCATCCACTCAACATCCACACCCAGCATCACAACCACAGCCTCTCCCCCAGCTGGGACCAGCTTTTTTGAGTGCAAGCCTCCCCCCTCAATGCACACCAAAGCTGCAGCAGGGATCTGGGTGTGGGGAGCAGCCCTAAAGCACACCGCATCACCGGCCACGTACCGTCGGCAGGCAGCACACAGGGTGCACAGGTAAACCAGGCCTCCGAGCAGGGCCAGGACAGCGAGGGCCACCAGGGGTGGGGGTCCCAGCAGCCCCTCACTGTAGGTCACAGCCATGGGGCACCACTTCTGTGAGTGCTGCAGGGCTGAGCTCTGGGGAGAGAAAACACGAGTGGGGTCGTGCATGGGGACGAGGCTCTCAGCACCCGATGCCCAGCACCCTGTTCCCTGCCAGGACCCCACAGTGCAACTGTTGGGAGGGGGCTGCCCAGATGCTGCCAACAGCCTCTGCAGGGCCAGCCACCAGGGACTGTTTTCTGCCCTGCTGCTGCCTTCCTGGAGGCTCTGCTGCTCCGGATGTTGGTTCCTTTTGATAAAGGAGCAGAACAGAATTCATCTCCCACGTTGCTTTTGAGATCTTACAAAGGAGAAGCCCCAGAGGCACCCCAAATTGTCAGCACGCTCTGGGGACACCAGGGCTGGGCGGTGACCACAGCATAGGGTCAGAAGAGCTGGGAGCCATTTGGTGAGGTCATGTAGGATGTTGGCAACAGCCCTTCTGACAACACCACAACCGCAATGGGGGCCGTGGTGTGACTCAGGGGATGCGCAGACAGGATTCTGCTTCTCAGAATGGAGGAAAGCAGAGCAGTTTGTGGCAGTCACCATTCACCCAACACCAGTAAAATCCCATGGCATCGTTCCTTTCCCTGCTCGGCCATTGCTGTGCTGCCAAACTGCCACCACATCCCCAGCACCGATGTCACAGCAGCCGCTCCTTGCTCTGCACACCCCAAAAAGGCCCTGGGGTGTCAACGTGAGAACTTCCCACACCTTCGGAAACGTCGCCGACTCAAAGCCTTTACCCCCCCAGAGAGCAATTATTTCCATGTGGAAATGGAGACAGGAGGTCGGAGACACCAACCAGGCTGGGCAAACCGGCTCACATCAGAGCTGGGAAGGAGCTCCTCTCCCTCCATGGTGTTTTAATTAGGCAGCACCGCTCGCTGTCTGAGCACGCACGATGCGTTACCTGCAGCGCTCCAGACAGTCCCTGCTCAACTCGTTTGGCTCATTATAGAGAATCAGAGGCTGCAGGGGTGGCTGCACCCGGGGCAGGAGCAAGGAGAGGTGCTGGCACTTAGCAGAGCGATACGCAGGAATGGTGGCTGGAGGTGAATGGGGCTTGAAGGGAAATCTTCTCTTGCTGAGACAAGCACACGTGGGGACGGCTCGTCCCAGGCCATCCCTGAGCTGTTCGGATTTGAGAGTGAGGTTCTTGAGCTGAACTTAACTCAGAGCTCTTCTCCTGACCTACTTTGCCCGCCCTCTCCACTGTGCAGGAGGTCTGTGGTTGTTCCTGTGTTTTTGACCTAAAAATAATGGTCCATTTTTTTACGCTCTTTGGCACGTTTGGGTTCTGCACTCATTGGGAACAGCCCCCCCCCAGGGACAGGGTGCTGGTTCTACCAATTACCAAGAGTGACCAATTTGAGACCCAACACTCAGACCGAGCAGGTATGCAAGACAGAGATTCCAACCAACTGCAATGTGCAGCTCAATTTCCTGCTAATAAAGCCATGGATCACCAGGTCCTGAGGCTGCTCTCAGGGCAGGAGCTGCAGCAGAGAGCATTCCCATCAGTCCCACTGGTTTGCAGGTGGCTGCAGCTCCGTGGGCATGACACACACTGGGGAATCGCCCCATGTCACGATGCCTCAGCACCAGCACTGAACCTGGTTTCTTACTCTGGGATATGAGGGTTTTTCAGCTCCAAAAGCCACGTTACAAAAAGCTCGAGCTCCTCAGCTGGGCCTCATGACAACGAAATTTGATTTCCTGTCAATTTAAGTTCTGCTGCTGACGATTTCTCCCAGCATGATTCACTGATGCAGATAACGCTGCACCAACACAACATGAGAACAAGAGGAGAGTCTGCAAAGCTGCCATGGGGAACCACAGCCAGCATGGTGCTTCCCATCCATGATGGCCAATGGGGCCACAGCCGACACAGTGTGGTGCCCTGGGGAGTTGTACCAAAAAAAAGCCCACCAGAATTAGGGGGCTTTCAGTCCGCAGTTGTGAAAAACAAAAGCCTCGTAATGGTTAATCAGCAGCACTCAGCCTGCCCAAGGCAATGGCATGCCATTAATAAAGCTGAAGAATATTTCCAAAGAGGAGCAGGCACGAGTGCTCAGCCCCTGCACTGCGCTCCTGCAGCTCTGACAGGGGTTCTGAGCTCCCATTGAAATAACTTAAAAAAGGGCCAAAAATATCTCTAACGCCAGACCCAAACCTTACAAAGCTTGGATGAGCACTTCTAAGACCCAGCACTAACAATGCAGACCAAGGCACGCTCCAGAATGCAGCATGAGGGGATGCAGGAGGTGTTTTTGCCCAGATCTCCTGGCTGCCTCTTCGCCCCACATTCAGCACAGTCCTACATCATTTCAGATTGACGAGAGGCCGTTTCAGTGATCACACTCAAGCCTCCATAGCGCCCCTCTCACAGGAGTTCAACGTTTTCCCCAGAGCTGTTCTGGATGCAATCAACAGTTCAAGCCCAAGTTGCTGTGCTTCAGACCTTTCCCATCCCCAGTACCACCAGCACCACGCACAAACCCCGCACGCCTCCCTGCAGGCTTCACCCAGCCGATGCTTCAACTCTGCAGCACTGAAAATAGGAATCCTGCCTGTCCAGTCCGGCTGGCTGCAGCAGCATCTCTGACAGCACTGCAGTTCCCACACGGATTAAATATTTTCCAGCCCCAGTTTAGTCGCAGACACGTTTGCCAGGTGAGAAAGGGACCATCACTTACTTTGCAGAACCTCAGAAGCTGGTGAGTGTGAAGAACAGGAGTCCAGCCATGCTTGCTTCCTTGCCAGTCAACTCGGAGAACTTTGTCTCCTTTAAACCACAGGTCTGCTCCTCATCAGGGGCTCCCAAACATTCCGAGCATCTCGATCCAAGCTCTCCCACTCTTCAGCTCGCTCTCGGCAGGCAGCTCTGTGCAGATACCATGCAGCACAAGACCACAGCTTCCTGACCTGCAGAGCTTGTTGTTTC